CTATGAATGTGTTCTGTGTGTTTTACTGTAAGAGCAGTAAAAATGTGGTATCAGCTGACAGCACAAGTATTGATAAATTCAAGAAATGCTTGGATGGGTTTCTCAGTATACAGAATATACAGGGTTCTGGGAACTATTAGTGATATGTGTATATACACACACACACACACGTTGAATTGGATGGACCTGTGTCTTTATTCAACCTTACCTACTATGTAACAAAGTGTATTCGCTTTGGAAAGTGTATGTACATTTTGGAAGGCAATGTTCACTTAGCTTAGTAAAAACAGGAATTTTGTTTGCACTTGATTGCATGATTGAGAATCAACAGCATCACCTTTTTTACCAAGCTAAGTGAACATTTACTTTGCAAAGTGAACATACATTTTTCCTAAGTGAACTGTGTTTTTAGTAAATAAACCCCACTTAGTTATTTAAATAAGGAGCTTCTTTCCGCATACAATGTAGTACAATACAATACAATGTGATACAATGTAAACACCAACTAGAGCTCTACCTGCTGGCAAAATGTAAGACTACATAAATGAGTATGCAATATTTCAACTTCACTTGCCTATTATGTAGGCATGTATGTACAAAACCATTATACTTTCCCTTTTTTAACAAACCGAAAGCTGATTCACAGAAAGGTACAACAGCATAAAAAAAAAAAAAAAAACAGTTTAAAGCAAAGTTTGGACATGACTGTGGTTAAAGATTATTTCTGTTTGTCTTCTTACAGTTCAATATAGTAGTAGTTTTTTTTGTTTTTTTATTGGAATGTACTAGATTAATCAATTACATTAAGATTCAGAAATCTGTAGATTAACAGTTTGTAGGTGCTACACTTATAGTTATGTCAAGATATGTTCAAATATGCATATACCATACCTTTTTTTTTGTAAATGTGAGTATAAGTCGAGCCAATACATGTTTATTTTTTTTTATTTTCACAGGCAAAAAAATCTATTTATTCTCACTTAAGCACATTAGCAGATTTTACAATTGAAATGTTTGATGTTATTGATGAAATCAACTATCAGTCTTACAATGACTTTGTTCTTAGAGTGGGTAAGTGAGCTACATTAACCACATAACAGCTTTGCAGTGTCAGATTACAGTGTCGTTTCTGTAAGTCTCAAAGTGAAACCTGGGTGCTGTGTACATTTTACCAAACCCAGATTCACCACAAAAATGACAATAACAAATTTTGGGGTTTCTTGTTAGGCCAAAGTTTTCATGACCAAAAAAAATGGGTCATTATGTGCACTCAGATTATCACACAGTGTACAGTTTCTTTACATTTTTCAAGGTGTCATTGTCTAAAACACCTCAACTAACAACAAACTACACCCAAACGGGCTACTTTAAAACCCTTCGAAGTCTTAAAAGAAGTCTTAAAAACCTTTCGAATCCTGAAAACAACCAAACTACCTCAAACCCTCTAATTATGCATTTGTTGCCTGGCTCATTGTCCAAATAACAACTTTTTGAAAGTCACTATTTGTATAAGCACAAGTATGGTCCTCATATGACTGGACCTGCTGTTATTCAGGCATGACTGTAAAAGAATGTAATATCATCCCTATACATTCATCTTATGACTGTATTATTATATTAAACAATAAAGGTGATCAGCGCCAGTAAGTGTAATGTGGAAATAAGAGCTACCAAGCACTAAGGATATATCTAAATATCTGAAAAATGTGAAAAACAATATTGTGCCGAGCTAATAATCATACATATCTAATAAAGTGAAACATATATAAGTGAGTCACATATATGAGCCTTCAAACAAATGAGGCATATGAAATATCTACACAAAGACAAAAAAGCAATATAGACAATAAAAAGTCTCAAGGAAAAAACAAAAGCAAACAATGGTGATTGTGCAAAAAAAAATCCTTCAGATGATTCGCAGCCAATCTGCATATAACTCTCAGGTAAGGATAATCACACAATGCAGGCAGACCTTCACCTCCACCTAGTGAGCGATGACAACAAGTGAGTTCTCACCTGGGGAGGTAGACCTACAGAGCTAGGTCAAATGCGCTTTTTCCCTTCTTAATGGGGGAGGGAAGCCCATGCACAGAAAAGGCGATAAGGTCTCCTCAGATCACAGGTACCAGTATAAATCCAGGTGGAAAGAGAAAAAGGACAAGGACATAGTGCGTAACGTCCAATAAAATGCAATTCATTAAATAAAAAATGCGTACTCACAATGATATAAACAGTACAGGCATTGGGTATTGCTGGATCAGACCAGCAGGGCAAATGGCAGCACAGCGATAAAAAAACCTGTTCGTCCGGCTCAGCTCAGTGCAGTGACATCAGAAGCTCTGCCCTACGTACGTTACGTCAAAACACGTGACTTCATCAGGGGTCTGGCAACTTTTTTGCACAATCACCATTGTTTGCTTTTGTTTTTTCCCCTAGACTTTTTATTGTCTATATTGCTTTTTTGTCTTTGTGTAGATATTTTATATGCCTCATTTGTTTGAAGGCTCATATATGTGACTCACTTATATATGTTTCACTGTATTATTATATTATTGTATAATATGCAGAATTAGCCAATTACAAAACAAATTAAAAATCCTTTATTTGTAATGCATTGGTTATTATTAGATTTCCCAATGCAATCCACAGTTCAAACAAAGCCTAGTATACCATGGTGGAAGGAAACCAAAGCAGTGATTAGCCAGACATGGCTACACTCTTGCCTAAATTTGAAAACTGTCAAATACCAAAGTTAAACAGTTGGAGGATTGTGTAGAAGATGATGACAGGACATTGAGTAGCAGTCTGCAGACACTTTGCTTCCATGAAGATGGTAAAGGTGACTCAATGGCCTTTACTAACAAATACAGCTACAGATATCTTCTGTCTTCATAGTTTTCCAGATCATTGTTCATGTAAAGAGCTAACTACATTTTTACAACCCCAATTCCATAAAGGCTGTGTAAAATCTACATAAAAACAAAATGCAATGATTTCCAAATCTCATAAACTCATATTTTGTTCACAATAGAAAATAGTAAACATATAAAATGTTTAGACTGAGAAAATGGACCATTTTACGAAACAATTAAGGTAATTTTAATATTGGTGGCATCCACACATCTCAAAACAGTTGTGACATGGCCACGGTTACCACGATGTAGTATCCCCTCTTCTTTTAACAACACTCTGTAAACATCTGGGAACTGAGGAGACCAGTTGCTGGAATTTTGGGAGAGAAATGTTGTCCCATTCTTGCCTGATTTAGGATTCAAACGGCTCAACAGTCCTATGTCTTCTTTGTCGTATTTTTCGTTTCAAGATGCGCCAAATATTTTCTATTGGTGAAAGGTCTGGACTGCAGGCAGGCCAGTTAAGCACCCGGACTCTTCTACTATGAAGCCATGCTGTTGTCATAGATACAGATGGGGTTTAGCATTGTCCTGCTGAAATATGCAAGGCCTTCCCGGAAAAAGACGTTGTCTGGATGGGAGCATATGCTGCTCTAAAACCTGGATATATCTTTCACCACTGATGGTGCCTTTCCAGATGTACAAGCTGCCCATTCCATATGCAGTAATGCTGATAACAAGCTGTAAGGTCCCTCTCCTCTTTAGTCTGGAGGATGCAGCACCCATGGTTGCCAAAAAGAATATCAAATTTCCGTTCATCTGACCACAGAGCAGTTTTCCACTTTGCGACAGACCATTTTAAACGAGCTTTGGCCCAGAGAAGAGGGTATTGTTTCCTGGATCAGATTCAGATATGGCCTCTTCTTTGCATAGAGCTTTAATTTGCATTTTTGATGACACGGCGAACTGTGTTCACAGACAGTAATTTTTGGACGTATTCCTGAGCCCATGCAGTGATGCCCATCACATAATCATGTCTGTTTTTAATACAATGCCTTCTGAGGCCTGAATATTACGGGTATCCAATATTGCATTTTGCCCTTGTCCCCTGTGCAGAAATGTCTCCAGATTCTTGGAATCTTTTGATGATATGTACTGTAGATTGCTTATAGTAGAACTGTAAATGCCAGGTCCGTACGGCGTACTGAGCTGGCCAGCTGGAAGCACTAACCCTTGGCAGCGAAAGGGTTAAAGTCATTGCAATGTTACATTGAAGAACATTATTCTGAAATTGTTCGACAATTTTTAGACGCAGCTTTTCACAGACTTGTGAACCTCTTCCCATCATTACTTATGAGACACTCTGATGCTCTTTTTACACCCATTTGTGTTACTGGCCTGTTGCCAAGTAACCATTTGCCGTCCGCCCGTTGACAAAAAAATGGACGGAAGGCACTGCTGCATTAGCGGGTTTGCCGTCTCCAGCTGTTTTTACTTATCAATCAAGACCTTTATTACACTGCTTGAGCTGGTGCCTATACAGAAGGTATCCAGATTAGCATATCTTCAGCAATAGGTTTGGATGACATACCCAGACCCCACTAGACCAAAGATTGCCAGGCCTGTCTGAAATGTAACCTTTGGGCTCTGCTCGTGGCACTTCCCAGACCTTTGTGTATTGTGTTAGCCACAGAACGCTCTCCAGGTCTAGAGCTGTGAGACAGCTCCTGGTGTGACCCAACTCTGCAGACTTGCTTCATGAGTAAGTTTTTCATTATAGCAAAGACATCACAGAACTTTTTAGCTGCAGGGCACTCCCCAGAGCCAGAGAAGTGGCTCAGACTCTGATGTGACCTAGTCTCTGAAGTCTCTCTTTGTGAGTGAACTTTTAAATGGGTCAATGCTAAACTAACTTGTGCCCTTCGCACACTGGATTCTGCATTGTGGAGCTTTACAGACCCTTGTGTACTGTGTCAATCAGTCACAGAATGCTTTCTGGGCTCAGGGTGATGGCACAGCCTGTTGTGCGACCTGGTCCCTGTAGTCTCACTCTGCATGAAATTCTCTGTTTGCAGTTAACATACCCCAATATGACACCCATATACGGGCTCTGCCTTGTGTTATTTCTAAGTAATATTATTATTATTATTACTACAGGTATTTATATAGTGCCAACAGTTTTATGCAGCACTTTACATAGTTGGACATGCACATTCACATTTAGTTGACACCAACTAAATATAACCACCAACACCTACAACATATAACAGGAGCAAGCAGCTTAATACAGGTAACAATAACAGGACTACAAGCAGGTATCAGGACTTGGGTCTATAATCAGGTGACTGGACTTGGGACTCAGGATACACAGGAAATAGGACTACAAACAGGGTTCAGGGTTCAGGACTGGTAACAGTACTCACAGGAAACAAGACTGCAAACAGGGTTCAAGGTTCAGGACTGGTAACAGGACTCACAGGAGACAGGACTGCTAACAGGTTTCAAGGTCCAGGACTGGTAACAGGACTCACAGGAAACAGGACTGCAAACAGGGTTCAAGATTCAGGACTGGTAACAGGACTCACAGAAAGCAGGACTGCAAACAGGGTTCAAGGTTCAGGACTGGTAACAGGACTCACAGGAAACAGGACTGCAAACAGGGTTCAAGGTTCAGGACTGGTAACAGGACTCGCAGGAAACAATACGGAGCCATCGTCCTGACTGAAGGGGGGGTTTAAATACCCTCCCAGTAAGTGCCAGGTAATGGCTAAGTGCCGGCAGCTGGGAGACACCCGCAGGTGAGCATTGGAGCTGCAGGTTCCAGCACCACCCAGTGGTGGTCTGGTACCTAACCGTTCCTGGCTGCCTGGAGATACCTGCAGGTGAGCACAGGAACTGCAGGGCTTAGCTCCAGCGCCACCTGGAGGCGCTCTGGATGCTAACAGTCCCACTGCAGCGCATGGTTTCGTTCCATACTCCCCTACTATTTCGGGGGGGCAAATCACAAGTGTTCATTATAGTGTTAGAGATTTCTTTTAACATAACTTTAGTCAGTGGACTAGGATTATATAAATATTCCAAGTGCATGGACACATACACCAAGATGTGTATATTAGACCATATTGTTTTGACCATATGTGAGAGTTTTAATGCACAGTGGATGAACCCTCGGAAACATAACAGAAAAGAGTCCACAGCTACATACACATTATAGTTGGG